GGATGACTCCGATAAGAATATGTAGCAGGAACAATGCGCGTAATAAGAAGAAGAAGAAGAAGAACAAGTTGTTCCCCACCCCTCCTGCTAAGGGCCCTGCCAAGGGCGCTGCTACGCACCCCTGCTAACCCCTGCTAACCTCCGCCGAGCACTGCCAGGCCCTGCGAAGCCTTAGCTAGGCCCCAAGTCCCCGCAGCCAGGTCCTCTGGCGCGCCATGGCGCTCCAGGGCGCGGGGGCGTTATAATCCACCGGAAAGGGGCGGGGGGGGTTCTTAATGCCTTCTTGAGGTCGCTGCGCCGCCCGGGACCTGCCCTTGGCCTTGCCGAAGAGGGCGAAAGCAGACGCCGCTCGAAGGTCAGAGAGATCTGTATCATTCATGCCACACACTCTGACTCCATACGAAGCCGACGCTAAGCCACCAGCTCGGAACACTCTTGAGAGCCCCCGCCCGTGGTGTCGGAGCGCTCGGAACCGATGGGACCTCTTGCGGGGGTTGTTCACACGGCCTTTCAGAACTCTCTTGCCTTTCCCTACCTGCCGGCTGAAGTCGTGCCCGAGGTTCTTGACACTCGAGCACACCTTAAAATTTAAACTCTTGAGGTTGGTGCCAAGATCCTGCGCCAGCTTGCTGGGCGACGCGACGATCTGGCACTTCTTCCTAGACACTGAGAACTTCATCTTGCGCAGTCGTTTGCAGAGTGCTGGGGGTGCTCTAGACAGGGATTCTCTGACGAACTTCTCCGAACCGGTTGCCGATATCGCAATATCGTCTACCATGACATACAAGGATAACGATGGCCAATACGTCTGCATGTAAACAAGTGAGTCATTTAGTACAACTCGCAACATCGTCGTCGCGAACGAACATCCAGCGATAATCGAGCACGCGATCGTGATGATACTCAAAACCACCTCTCGGATCGTTACCACCCTCGGTCACCCGTGCACCATAATGAGCAGGCGCGCGCGGCGAAGACTAAACCTGTGCTTCTGGCAAGCGGCCCACAGCACTTCATGTGGGATTTTTTTCGCGCGCCTTCTCAAGATCGATCAGCCCTGAACCTGAAAAAAACACAAATGGAAATTGGCGCCTCTGCTTGGGCCGCCTGCTTCCACACTGGCTGCTCACATGACTTGCCTTTGGAGCCGCACACACAGTCAATGTGGCGCTCGCGCTCCCGCTTCTTGGCCTCCGAGTGCCAACTGCGACCAAGCAGCCGCGCGCACGTGGCCAAGATGCCGATCGGACGGTATCCACCATCAGGTTTCTTCAAAAAGACAATGGGCGCCAGGTCGCACTGCTCTGGAATAATGAAATTCGTTTCCACAACCGATAGGAACTCATCAAAAAACGGCCAGGCCTTGACCGCTGAGTTGTTTCACGTTCACTGGATTCCAGCCGTCAATCCCCATCGCCGTGTTCTTCTTGAACTTCTGAAGGGCCTCCCGAACCTGCGAAACCGCAGGCGCTGGAGGCGGCCCCCCGAGCGGCACGTTCAGGCCCTGGGCTCTTAACCTCCACTGCTGAATCCTTGTTCGCCCTGGCGCTCGACTCCCCAGTATCTGCAATGGGCCGAACGGCCGCCAACGCGTCCTGCAACTCCTCGTGGGAGACGGCGGCGTGCAGCTGAAAACGTCGCCTATACCTCCCCCGCTCTGGTATACTGCTGAGCACCTTTATGGGGGCCTCGAACTTCCTAACTAAATCCTGAACCCCAGCAGAATCCCAGGAATGCCCTCTCCCACGAAGATAAGACAGCTCCTCAAGCCAGACCAGATATTTCTTGAGCGCCCTGGTCTCCAGACTGCACCGTGGAAAGGGACCCAAAACGTGCTGCTGCAAAACTGGCTTCTCGACCACCTGGAACGTAGTACCCCTCCCATAGTATTTAGCACGCTCAGCAGACTCGATGCCTAGCACGTCGCACAGCTCCTGCTCCATGGTGCCACACATCTCCCCATAGAGCACCGATAGATCTGCACACGATGGCTGCCGCCGCAGCCGATCAAACTTGCCCTCGAACTGGGTCCAGTCCTGTGGCGGAGGCGTTGGGCCTGTGGGCTTCTCTAGCGGAAGAGGCTTTCGCAGCCTCAGCACCTTCTGAGTCCTCTGGTGCGCCGTCGTACCTAACCAAAGTGAAACTGGACAATGTGTCATGTTACTGGAGCCTTCTCGCCTGGCGCACGCACGAACTTCCCCGACAAGATCGTGCGACGCGACAAAGTAGTCAAGTTCACGCCACTCTTTGCCGACTCGACACGTTGGCTTCCCCGGGTTGACTACCACGGCCCTAAGATCACCCAGGGCAGGCGTCTTCTGGACCTCCGAGGGCGCGTCGTTCCAGCCAGCAGCTATCACAAAGGGCCTCTGGGAACTATAGAGATACTCACCCAGCCGGTTTAGCAGTTGTTTGCCTTTAGCTCCTGGGGCCCCTTCTCCGCCAGGAAGATCAAGCGAACGCCTATAGAACCCTCCCCGCGCGCAACCATTGACCCAGACAGTCGTGGAACGTGCACGGTGAAGATGTCGCGCTCCTCTCACTGCCCCACTCACGCCCATGCGCTGACGAACTCCTGCCGCAACTCCTGCTGAGACGCCCCCCAGGTTCGTCTGGTCAGCAGGACTGGGGCGTAGTGTCCAACCCTCGTCGGCCGCTGGCTTTTCAGACTGCGGAACATCTGGCCCCAGGGCCCTGCACTCCTGGATGCAAAGAACTGATGAACTCTTGAACATATCGTCTGTCAGGGCCGCGAGCGTGCCTGACCACCCTGAAGTATTTCTGGTGGTGATCTCCCACGATATATTAGCCGAGGAACTGCTTCGACTGGTACTCTTGGGCAGTGCCACTCTGCCCGTGCTAAACGCTCGAAGTCCCTGACGCTGGAGTCGCCGCGCCTCCTTTGCCAGCTCCTGGGCCCTTGCCACCACTGATTGGATGGTCGCCCACCAAGCGCAACGCATGCTCGCGCAGCTCCTCCGACGATTTCGCCATACCCTTGCCTGCCGCCTGCGCCGACGCCGCGGCGCCAGTCTGCGCTGGCGGCACAGGCGTGGTCGGCTGTGGGCTGCCCACGCCAGCCGCCGCGCCCGCGCCCTGCTGCGCTGACGGGGCCGAGCCTGCAACACCCGTTGCCTCAGGCTCCTGGCGGCGTCGCTTCGACTGCAATCTGGTATTGAGCTCCTCGCGCTCCTTCTTATACTGATTCGCTGTCCTCTTGAGGTCTCCAAACATCGCCTTCGCGAGGGTCTGTAACTGCTCCTTGAGCTGCGACTCGCGCTTTCTCGCCTCCCCTTTGTCCGTCTCCTCAACGCCCACGAGCTCAGCCAGGCCGAAGAGGTCCTCCCCGGACGAGAGACTCCACTCCTGCTTTCCCTCAAGCATGGCCTCCAGGCTGAGGGTCGGCGCCTGCGGGGCCGACGGCACGGGCGGCATGACGACGGCGTGCAGCTTCTTGGCAGCTTCTTTGTAGATGCCTTCCTGCGTCTCGATCTGGTCCAAGAGCACGGCGACCTTCGCCCCCTGCTCCGTGACCTGCTGCTGAAGCTTCTCCAACTGGGCCGACTCGGTGCCCAAGTCCGTCTCCAGCTGCTTGGTGCAATTGTGCGCCTGATCCACCCTGACTCGGGGAGACACGTGCAGCTTATCTCTAATGGCCAGCACCTGCTGGTAGTACTCAACCATCTGGGTGCTGCTGCTCTTCTCTCCGAGCTGGACCAGCTGTTGCAACTCAGGCACCGCGAGCCCTGGTACAAGATCCGAACATGCCTGAACGAGGCCTGGTTGAAGTGGCGGGCCGTGTACACCAGCGCGGCCATCCAGACCAGGAGGATTGCCCAGATCCCTGCCCTTGCCATTGGACTTCTTGGCCTTGCCCGTCTTCCAGTGCCGCTCACAACGCTTGCACCAGTGCTCGTTGGTCGGGGCCTTTCCGCACCCACAGTGCGTGCATTTGCAGACAGACGCGTCATGCCAGCCTCCTGCCATCGCGCGCCTCTTCGGAAAATCTGCAAGGCCGAAATCTTGATATGAGAATGTGGCCATCACCCTGGGCCAGGGCTTCTGATCGAGGGTCGTGCGGGTCACTTGGCCGCCTTGAGCCCCAACCCCAGGGAAGGCGAACGCCA